CTTCCTTCCTTCCTTCCTTCCTGCAGCAAACATTTATTAAACACCCAGTTGCTGGGCATTCCAGGGCTGGATCATGGAAATATTAATTCCCCAAGACCCGGAGGGGAACAGAAAAGTAACAGGCAACAGACTGAGATGCTGATGCCCCCACTCGAGGGAGCTGGGAGGGTTTACAGTTTTCCATGTATGTGGAGTGTCTTCTAAAGGGTGGTGCACATGGCCTGGCCGGTGTGGCTCAGCTGGTTGGGCGTTGTCCGGTGCACCCAAAGGTTGCTGGTTTGACTCCCAGTCAGGGCACATGCCCAGGTTGCAGGCTCGATTCCCAGTAGGGGGCGTGCAGGAGGCAGCTGATCAATGTTCTGCTCTCACATCAATGCTTCTCTCTCTCCCTCTCCCTTCCTCTCTCTCTAAAAATCAGTAAAAAAAAAAAAAAGTTTTTTTAAAATGTGGTGCACAAATAGAGAGCAGGAGACTAAGGAGGGACCAGCATAATCATGAAGGAAAGGACACCTGGGCCAGATCTCGATGAATTTCAGTTATCTACACACCTTCACCCCCCACCCCACCCAAAAAAGGGGGGAAATGTGTTCCAAGCTCTGGGCACAGCTTGGGCAGAGGCATCAAGGTGAGAAACTGTACTGGGGGGCTGCTGACAGAGCGGGTGCGAGATGCTGCAGCAGGCGCGAGACAGGGAGTAGGGCCTGTATACTAGGAAAAGGAGCTGGATTTCTTAAAGTCGTGTGGAGTCATAGGGTTTGACATATGTGAGGACTGTTAAATGATGTGAGCTAGAGAGATTATCTGGCTGCCATTGTAGAATGGATCGAGGGGAGCAAGACTAAAGAAAGGCAAGGAGACCAGGGCCAGAAGGAGAGCAGGCGTGGGCTAGGATCACCGACGGTGTGGACAGGATGCTCACAGGTACCCGATAGGGGGAGGGGGAGGAGAGCTCGCTTAGGCTGGAGTTGACAGTGCTTCGGGGTTTGGTGCAGGCAAGAGGCAGTTGCTTGTACAAGTCGACAGCTCCAGAAGGTGGATCTCTGAAACTGTGAGGGTGGATGAGAGCTGAATCCTAGGGAGTAGTGACTTAAACCGCTCGCCCAAGGAACTTAAGGACACGAAACACTGGAACTGAAGAAGCTCCGTCAGCCAAGAACTGCATTGCAGGCTCCTCAGAAAGAAGCGTTTCAAGGACAGTCATTGTCCCCTCAAAATATCAAACACTGCAAAAAGTTTCATTCACCTCTTCATTCCTTTATCTAGTCACCCACTCAGCAGATACTTATTTGGCTCCTCGTATATTCTAGCAACTAATTATATATAGTTGCTCAACAAAGTCAACACTGTTTGAGATAGATCACCATGGAGGGAATAACTGGTTTTAAATAGATGGACTAAGAGATACATATGTGGTTTTAAAACACGGTGGGAGCCCTACAGGAATGCTAAGCATCTGAAAGGCCCCTGGCGCAATCGCTGGGCGCTCCCTGGGGTTTCCTGCGCCAGTCCCGATGGAAGTGCATGGTCCTGCTGCACCACGTGGCCATGGGTGAGAGTCAGACATAAGCGAAGGACCTGGGGCAAAGCAGTGATGGCAACTCAGTTACAAAGAGCGAGAGTGACAATGGCAGTAACCACAATGCTGAGGGCACGTTATTCTTGTTTTACTATCTGAGAGGGTAGAGCCTGTTTACAGGCAGAAGCTGGAAGGAACCAGTAGAGGGAAAAGCTATCGTCGGCTTTAAAGTGAGAAAATAAGTGATGAAATTGGGTAAAATTAATATAAAATATTAATACGTTTCAGGTGGATTCCGGTGAGCTCGCAAGGCACTACAGGAGTTCTGTGAAATTTAAGGTGGGTGACTTAAAGTCGTTCAAGCAGCCCACTGCCATTTTAATTTCAAGTCCCAGCTATAAATTTCTACCCGAAAACCTGCCTGAATGATAGCCTTTGTAACAAGTTTGCACAGGTGAAGTTTTATGAGACCGAGGCCAGCCTGAGGTTGGCTTCTCAGTACTTACTCGATGAGCTCAGCATACGGGCCTGTCAGGCAGAATGAAACGTCGGTGCCCACACTGAAATTCCAGCCGAAAGACAGGGAAGGCGTGTGGGCTGTACTTTGTCCTGTCCATACGGAATGTAGCCGGCAGCTCACGCACCATGATGATGTAAAAGCCTATAAAATCATTGCTACTCCTGCTTCTTTCTGTTTGTATGTGAAAAGTAAAAAATAGAAGGGAAACAATTATTCAAGTGGCAGATGTGGCATCTTCCTCTCCTCAAATAGCCGCATAACCTGATGCTTTCCACCTCCAGTTATTTACAACCAAGTATCTGTTACCTTTTATTTGTTCCTCCTGACTCTGAGAAATGGGCAGAGCTTTGGGGGTTACCCGAGGTCCCCCAGTATGTAGGTGGGAACTCCAATCTCCCATCTCAAGGACAACACTTTAGTGGCCTCACATTTTCTTAAAAAAAATACAAATCTGGGTTTAGGTGTCACATTGTCCCAATTGGCAATCTGCAGTGATTAAAATCCCCTTGGGTTTGTTTTTATCTCCAGCTAATTGTCTTTGTAAACAATGTGTATGTGCTCAGACGTGCTGGTAAAACGTCTGCTGCTCTGATGGCCTCCTCCGAGGGCAATATCCTTTCTAAGTGCCCAACTTGCTCCAAACGCTTCCTCACAGTCTTGAGTTTGATGAGGGGAAATTAACTCATGTTTCAGGGCAGGCAGTTTGTGTTAAGGAACAGAATTCCTGGGGGTGCCTGGTCAGCTCTTACCTATGTTGGTGTAAATCAGTCCACGTCCAAGTAGCACGTGAACACGGCATAACCACGTGTGTTCTCCCAGCAGTTGGATGTCGCATCAGTAATGCCACTTGATGTTTTCTGCCTCTTCTTCGGGTTTAATCCAATATTTAGGACAAACAGGATATTGAAGGTAAGACAGCTACATTGTTATTCTTACTTGTAATTGTCTTATTGTAATAACGGGAATCTTGAAGTGATTTCACATATCCTAAGTGTATATAATGTTCTTCATTTTCCCAAACTGCCCTCCGATTTCCTGCCCTCGTCAATGCTACGAATGTTAAAACCAATGAAGGAGAAACGTCGTTGCTTCTACTGCAAGTTGCTCTTGGCTGTTTTTATTCTGTCTCTCAGAGCAGGTGCTTTTATAACCTGAGACAGGAACGTGTTGGCGCTTCTAGATACAGCTATAGTTACAAATGAGTCTTATAATTGTATTATTTTCCATTTGCCCTTTTTTATTAGACAGTCACTGAATGCCTGGAAAAGGCATTTACTGGCTGTGAAAGGAGACAGTTTGATTAGACAATCTCTAGGTTATCTTACTCACCTGAAATCCTATAATCTTAGAAAAAATGCAAATAGAGTTCTGCATAACAAAAATATTTACATACATGGATACAATTCAAATGTCCATTAACAGGGAACTAGTTAAACAAATTATCGTATACCTACACAAGAGAATACACTTTCTAATGCAAAAAAATACATAAAGGGCGTTTTCTGTGGACTGGTATGAGAAGATAAATTGCTAGGTCCAAATCCGTCCATGTCCAGAAGTTGTTTTAAATATAGGACATTCTGCAAGTCAACCTTGGTCTTTTTTCCATAGCCCCGCCGTCCAGTCATTTTACAGATACGTGGGTCGTTTTGATGAACATTCTCTAGGAAAAATATCGTTAACCTGTCTCCAGTTGAGAAAACACTAAGAACATGTTTTCAGTGACCACTGAAGCTAAAGTTTAAACCATCCCTTTGTGCAAACGTCTACTATGAGCACCAAAAACAAGTTAGCACCAATTGGAATTATCTTAATCTGAATGTCTGAGGGATTTGTCCTAGTCAGCAATTCTGGGAAAACAAGCCATCTGTACATTTTTTAGTTAAAGAGTCATTACTTTTTATGTTGTTTTTTAATTCCAAATGTTGTGCTACAGTCATATATACATTGGATGAAATCCTGAACTAAACGATTTTTGACCTAAACAACCCCTCACAGTCCCTCCCAGTCCCTCCCAGTCCCTCCCAGTCCCCCCAGCTGGAGGGTCCTGTGGTTCTCAGTACCATGAATAATTAAATGTGTTAACTTGGGGATGCTTGCAACCCCTTCAAGAGGCATGGTCTTCCATTGTCCCCATTTTACGGTCGAGGAATCCAAGGCACAGAAATGTTAAGTGACTTTTCCTAGGTCACACGGTTAGCAAAGGGCAGGGGTGAGGTCTCCCTCCTGCGTTCTCCGCCTCAGCTGATGAGGGAGATGGCTTGTGTAGGGAGTGTGAGTGGAGACAGGCGTTGACGCCGGCAGGAGAGGGCCTGGAAGGAAACGGCACTCGGTTTGGAGTCCACGTGTCTAAGCTCAGTGTCTGAACAGTGTCCTGGATTGCTGACCAAAGCTAATGTTCACTGGAGTTTAAATTTCATTGAAATGAAACATGTTTAATGCAACTTGCTCAGAAGCAATGCTGGTTCTGAGCCTCAGGACTCAGCACTGGTTACGACTTTGGTGTGTCACACTTTTCCTCTCTCACTTGGTTTTGGGGGAGTGTGATTTTACTGTAAAACAGAGTTCCGGTCCACGCTTTAAAAAGAAGGAAACGATGCTTTTAAGCCTGGTTTTCATTGAGCATCAGGAATGAGACCAACGAGAGGGAGGAACTGAAGCGGGGAGCCCTGGCACTGGTGCCACACTAAGTGCCGCCAAGAGGAAACACCACTGAACAGCCCCTCGTTTTTTAAAGACGTGTGAATGGAATTATTTTGAATGACCAATAAAATCTATGTTGTGGAGCTTTATTTAAATAGGTGTCTGTAAGACCGACATGCTTTGGGATTTCTCCTGCTTGTTTCCTCACAGTACAGGTCATTCTTTGAGTTTAACCACCACCTGGAGTCGATCATGGACAGGGCCTGTGTCTACAGGTGAGGCGGGGCTCAGTGTGCATCGGGCTGGGAGGGCAGGCAGGGGCTCCTTTCAGATGGAAGGGTGTAACCGCCCTCAGAGAGAAGGGGTCATCTCTGATTTCTGGCTGTAAAAAGTGTATGGTTATGTTCTAAAACTGAATATATTTTGAAGTGAGATGAAAGTATGGAAATCATACTAGATTTTGGAAGCATGCAGGACTGAAAAACAGGCCGAATTACCTGTTTCCATCAGACAGGTGTAAATACATGTGCTCTGTCACCGGTTGGCCCTCCGTCTCTCTCATGACAGTTCATTGTCTTGCTGTCCCGAGCCTCCCTTGCACGGAGACCTCGGTTACACCTAATTGTAGCAAGAAGCCCCTCGAGCTTTCCCGAGATATCCCGTTAAATCGGCATGGCGTATGTCCTGGGGCTTGAGGTGGACAGGTGACCTGGGGGCTCGCTCGTCCCCCAGGGAGCTGATTCATAGTATCTGTGAGAAGAGGGGAAGGATTTTTCACTGTTGGTCCCAGTCGAGACACTGAAATCAGAACACGTGCCCTGGCTCTGTCCTGTCTCCGTGTCCTCGTGGGAGTTAACAGCCCGCAGATGTGGAGCACGGAGTTTCATTGGAGACAGTCGGGGGAAGGACATGTTCACTGGGCCACCTTCAGGAGCTGCACGGGTCCTCGCTTCGCATTGTCTCTCCCCACAGAGTCGTCCGCACGACGGGCTACCTGCTGTTTGCTCTGCACCTGAATGCCTGCCTCTACTACTGGGCTTCCCACCACGAAGGAATTGGAACCACCAAGTGGGTCTACAGCGGGGAAGGAAACCAGTGAGTTTTCACTTCCGGAAACTTGCATTGAGTCTTGTTAACTTTCCGTTTCATGTCAGTGGGCGGTGAAGACCTTGAGTAGGATGTTTTCAGGGAAAGGGGGTCAAGTAGAGGAGGGCAGGGCAGGGCAGGGCAGGGCAGGAAATGTCAGTCTGTCACAGCCAGTGGGGGTGCGTGTGCGTGCGTGTCTGTGTGTGTGGCATGTGTGCACGTGTGTAGTGTGTGGTGTGTGGTATGTGCTTGTGTGCGGGCGGGTGCAGGTGTGTGGCGTGTGTGTGCGTGTGTGCGTGGGGGTTGCTGCTGCAAATACAGCGTCAGAGTGTGGGATGGCGACACCTGACTACGGACTGACCTAGTAACCAAAACAGTAACGATGGAGAAGACTTGAGAACCCTGTCGACAAGTTGGACTCAATGGCTATAAGTAGGGCCTTGACTGGAAGAATTAGAAACCACCTGTTCTTCTTAGTCCCTCACAGAATAAATACAGAGAGTGATCATTTCCTAGGCCAGAAAGCAGGTTTGGGATTTCCCAGCCCTGGTTTCCTGCCGCCTCCTTTCCTGGCTGGGAAGACGAGCATCACCTGTGGGCTGCCCACTTAGGATTCACGCAGAACCAGAGCTTCAGTATCCGCTCACCAGCCAGGGACATAGGTGGCTGTCTGTGCAAAGAAAACGCCTTTATCAGCAGCTTTTTGCATATTTTAGGACCGTTTGCACAGGGCAGATGTTAACACCACCTGCCCCTCTGTTGCTTCAAGTTCACACGTTGACCTTGTCAGCCTGTGATGGTTTCTATGACCTATAAGTGGAAGGTGCCTCTGAGGCCACTAGACTTGTTGACTTTGCCCTGTGAGAACCAGGCAGCAAACTGTGTGACCTGAGTGGGGCATCGTGGACATTCGAAGTAGAAGTCAGGTTTATTGCTGCCCCTCGAGTCCTCACCAGAATAACACTGTCCATGCGTTTCCATACAAAACAAGGGGTCACTTTCGTGGTACTGAGTGGACAGCCGCCTTCATTAGAAATACGATGAGTGAGGAAAGGGCTTAGCTCAAAAGGAAAACTTAAGTAGGAAGGTTATTTGGTTCCCAGAAATACTCCCATCTATCTTTGTCCAGATACAGGGTTTCCCCCAAAACTGTATACACTTTAACAGCTGATAGCTCAATTTTGAAAATGAAATTTTTTTAATAAACACTGCCTTTATAATTATTCAAAGTGTGTGTATACATTTTGGGGGCACACCCAAATACACTTATTTTCTGATGTAAATTTCCCAGTGTGCCCAGACCTCACAGGGAATCCTGGGCCCTGATCCCAAACACAGATCCTCTAAGGAAGGGGGAGTGAGCAAGGCTGTCGGGAACCGAGGCTGTGGACAGGCGAGGACAGAGTCAGGATTGCTCTACCTGGGGTGACTCACCCCTTCATTTCACTCAGGAAGATGATGAGGCCCTTGTACATGAAGGTATCTACTCAGGGTCGCCTAGATACTTCAGACACTGGCCAAAAAAACAGACCAATCCTTACACCACACGTGAGACTCTCTTCAGATGTAATAAAATCACCAGGCAGCAAAGAGTTTAGTGGAGCAGACGGAGACGGAAGGTGGCTGGGTAATTAAGCTAATCCTAGAAAATCCGTAAGATACCATCTAATTAAATTACACATCTTACCTTTGGTTGTGCATGTCTGGGGATAAGACACGGCTGAGAAAAGAAGCCCAAAGTAAACCTCAAAGCATCAGGGCAGAAAACTTCTGATCGACACGGCCAACTATTTCACACAAAAATAATAGTGTGGGCCTCACCCTCCAGATCTGGAAAACCAACACCCATGTTCCACTTGTGATTGTCACTTAACACCCATAAGTAAGAACCTGAGAGAGTAACTCATGGGCCTGTTCCTATTGACCCCACACTGCCCCAGGAGGGCACAGGATCCCTACATTTGTGTTGGACGGAGGAGGTGGCACAGGGAGAGGAGCCAGTCCTCTCCCGCTGCTGGGTGGTGTTGGCTTCAGTAATGTGCCTGAGTTTAGAAAGACCCACAGGTCCAGAACCTGTGACCAGAATAGACAGGTAATGGGAAATTGTGCGTTTGAAAGTGAAACGTGAAAGTTAAAATGTGATCCATAGAATGTATTCCACCTTGTTCAGGGTGGTTCTCTCGGACGTCAAGTTCACCGGCACAGAGGTCCCTTCTCTGCTGGGCCTGGCACAGGGTCCCGAGCCACAGAATTAGGAGCCCAATGACATAGCTGTTGGTTTATAGCATTACATCGTACAGTGGTCTGTTTTGCAGCAAGAGAGAAGTGGCACAGCTAGTGGGCACCCCCTCCAGTTTGCTGAGTCATTTCACAGAGTTGATCAAGAAGCTGACGTTAGCCCTGGCCGGTTTGGCTCAGTGGGTAGAGCGTCAGCCCTCGGACTGAGGGGTTCTGGGTTCAGTTCCAGCCAAGGGTACGTACCTCAGTTGCGGGCTCAGTCCCCAGTGTGTGGGAGGCAACCGATCGATGTCTCCCTCATCGATGTTTCTCTCCCTCCCCCCCTCCCTCCCCTCCCCCTTCTCTGAAGAGCAATGAAAAAAATACCCTCGGGTGAGGATTTTTAAAGGCTGACATTGGAACACGTGCTTCCCGATGCTGCCTGTGGAAAGAAATCTCGGTCAGCAGGACGCGTGTTGTCATGTGGTGGTAACCTATGCTCCAGACACAGGGATATTTTAATGTCAGAGTCAGAGCAAAATGTACGTCTCCTCTTTCCCAGGTACCTGAGGTGTTATTACTGGGCCGTTCGAAGTCTGATTACCATCGGGGGCCTCCCAGAACCACAGACTTTATTCGAAATTCTGTTTCAACTGCTGAACTTTTTCTTGGGGGTCTTTGTGTTCTCCAGTCTGATTGGCCAGGTAAATTGAGATGTGAACACTGGGTCCAGGAGGCTGTCCCCTTCGAAAAGCTAGCGAGTCTCTGTCAACTTTGCAGGGGAAGGTCAAAATCTATGAGGGGCTCTTCTCAGACTAGCCTTCAGCTGAGTTCGTGAATTGGGGGAGGAGGTGATGGGCCCACACGCCTTTCCGTTTCCAAAGGTCGCGTCCGTGGGAGACCTGTGTGCGGTGAGCGCCGGGTCAGACTCGCAGAGAGAGGCGCTTTCTAAAATAACTTCCCTCCCGGAGCTTCCTGAAAACCTTCCAAAGCTCTCGTATTGACTTAAACTTCGAGTATCGTCTTAGAATCCCGGGCTAAAATCCACTTCAGAGGTCACATGAGACTGAATCCTGGCAAAATCCCTGTGTGGTAGAGAAGACAGGTCTCGCTGTCGGTCGGGTTGGGTCCGAACCTGCCCAGGACCTTACGTCAGTGGTAGAAATCAGACCCAGTATCAGAGTTAAAACCCAGCTGTCAGGGAATTAGGATGCAGGGTGTAGACCAACCGCATTCCCGTTGCAGATGCGCGAGGTCATCGGGGCCGCGCGGGCTGCGCAGAGCGACTTCCGGATGCACCTGGACCACACCCTCGCCTACATGAGCACCTACTCCATTCCCGAGGCTGTGCAGACCCGGGTCCGGACCTGGTACCAGTACACGTGGGACTCTCAAAGGATGCTGGGTAAGCAAGGCAGACTCCCACATCCCCGCCAATGCGTCAGGTGGTGGGTGCTCAGGAGGCAGGAGCCAGACCCCTGGGTTTGAGCAGGAGGTTGAAACACAACTAAATAATCTCAAAGGCATTAATTATATACTGTGGGTTTTTATTTTTCTTAACTCCCCAGCTATACCTACAGATTACACAATCCTGGGAGAGCAAACACTGAGTTTATTCAGCGCCTGTGGGGCAGGTGTTACACACGCTGCCTCGTAGAATTGGGAAGTCAAGTGTCTTCAACCCGTTAGGAGAGGGGACGGAGGCCCCAAACTGAAAGCTTCGGCCGAGGGCTCAGAACTGGCAGGTTCCTAACTGGCCTCAGACCCCTGCCTGCTCTCTGAGGAACCCAGTTCTTCCTGTGACCTCATGTCTTACGCCGAGTGTAGCACCCAGAATAGCGGCTCCAGGCCAGGTGCTGCAGGGCGCCGGCCCCTCCAAGGGACCCCCACCAGCTCACCGCAGCGACTCTTGGTGCCATAAAGCTGCAGTTAAAGTAACTTCCATTAAACGATATAAAGCAAAAGAGAATGGTGATCGTTGGCCATAACCAGACTCAACTCTTGGTTTGTTCCTTCCCGTGTAAAACGGGACTTGGTGCCACAGAGAAGCCAAGAGTACGAATTACGTCACACCGTGGTTCTAAAATCAGAGGTTCTTGAGAGCAGGTAGGAGCCGCTGGTGTCAGAGCAGAACCTCTCTCCACCTTTCTGCCCTCCTGAGAGACTCGGCTGCTGGTAGAGCCTCTTCCTGAACCTAAAGACCAGGACCACAGGCCTCTCTCGAGCTGAGCGAGGAGCACAGGTTTCTGGGCGGCTTCCCTCTCTTCCCAGAGGCACTGCTCACCCCACGTAGGGGGACCAAGACACAAACCCTCCAGAGCAAGGAGCTGTGTGTCTGTAGAAAGGATCTTCATACTTAGAACCAATATTGGAATCAAAATAAGGGTACAGTATAGCCATTCTTCCATTCTAAATGGACATAAGAAAACCCCCAAAATGATCAGCTGTCAGAAACTGGTGGCCTACCGGACACTAAGAATGGGCAGCTTCGTTTGCGGAGCAGTTTTCCCGCCCAGAGGGCCGTCATTTCATCCACAGGTAGAAAACCGCCCATGTAGGCACAGCCCTCATCCAGCCGACGGGCAAGGAAGTAACAGTAGCTTGAACTCAGCACATTTCCTTGGATCCCACTCCCAGCTGAGCCGCCCACCAGTGATGCGTGAGGAGCAGGTCTCTGAGCACCGTTCTTTTGTGTTTCTTTTTTTTTCTTCTTTCTGCAAAGCAGGGATGAGACACTTACCCTCAGGGTTGCCACAGGGTCACACGAGACAGTGACAGAGCCCTGAGCTTCCAGATGCCCGGTGGTTGTGGCCATCACCCGCCCGTCCCTGGGCCGTCAGGGCTGGAACCCACAGGGCAGATGGCAGGAGCTAGACTATCCCAGCCCCATCTGCCCACTGGCCTCTGTCCCGTGGCCACTAGACTGTACCCAGAGTGTCAGCGGACACCCGCTGACTGTGCCGCCATCAGTAGCTCAAGCCGTAGGCGGCTGGGACAGGTACATGGGGCCAGCAGGAGTCACGAGCGTGGAGTTTGACGCAGCTGTTTACTTATCAAGAGTTGGCATTTCGTTCATTTTTTGTTTTTCCTCACACTCTGGCGATGTTTCTCGTTAATCTTGCTGCCCCGTGAGGGGATGCGTTCGCCTCTACAAAGACGAGTCGGCCCTGCTGGAGGTTCTGCCGGCCGCGATGCAGTCAGCACTCGCCCTGGACGTGAACTTCAGCATTCTCAGCAAGGTGGACCTGTTCAAGGCAAGTCTCCAAGACCAGGAGAGGGACTCGCGGCCGTTTCTCTGTAAAGTCTGCCTCTGGCTGTGCACGGCGTTTACGATAGGTATTCCCTTATGTTTACCAAAATGAAACTGATCTGGAGTATTTATGTGGAACTAGAGTAAATAGACTGTGGGTCTCCCTTCAGCAGATGACTTACTCTTTAGAAGCCTCTCTCCTGATGGGTCAAAGAGCGAGTTTTTCCTGATTAATGTAAATATCCTCAGACTCTGCCGTCTATCTCTGCTGCTCCCGGCCACCCTGACAAGCAGACCCCACCCCAGGTTACCTCCGGATGGCCTGACATCAGAGAATCCAGAGACTGTCTCCTGTTACAAATGCCCTGGAGCTAAACTTTTTAGGTGGCCCAATTCTAATTTAGAGGCTTTAAAAAAGAAAAAGAAAAAGAGCACAACCAGGAAGTTTTAACTTTGTGGATGTTTTTAAGTTTATCGCCCTCTTCTTAAATGTACACTGGATGTCAGTTTTCCTCGCCTGGCCATTGACTCTGTGTGGGATCCATCTGTTTAATTCATCCACTCACAGATATTTATTAAGTTCCTACTTTGTCTTAGGCACTGTTTCAGCCACTGAGGATAGAAAATTTTAAAGCAGATGCAGGCTCACATGGAGCTTAAATTCCAAAGGAGAGCCCCCCTTACCTGCTCCTACCTCCCACCCCATCCCCTCTGGTAATCATCCTACGTTAACAGTATTTTTAAGTGTTATGAAACAACTCGTACCCTAATGACTAGCTTAACTGAGAATATGTGACTACAAATGGCGCTTTTTTAAAGAAAGAAAAAAACTTTAAATTTTATACCAACAGCTTTTACAGGATTATCCCTGATTTGGGAAGTTATCAACTTTCAGCCTCAGAGTTTTTTCCTTTGTTTTTACGTATATTTTTGGAACTCCATAAAGTCAGCAACATCTGACTGAGAGGAAAGGTTAAATCTTCACATCTTGCGAACGCTGTACATGAAGTTAAATCCGTTCTTTCCTGACATTTCCGTTAAAGACGCAGCTTCTCCCAGAAAGAACCATTTCCATTTATATTTCTGTTAAATGGAAAAACTGTGTTTTAGAGCCAAGCGAGGTAGAAAGTACGCAGGTTCGGCATCATTCTGTTTCTGTACAGACGATCTTGGCAGTTTATACAGATTTGCTGTTTTCTTCAGGAGAAAATAGGCTGAGTAGTGATCCTACACCCTTATCTCATAAATTATACCTGCTGACCCTGGTGTTCCTGAGCGAGTCACACGTTCCCCAGGACCCCCGAGCTCCGGCGGGTGCACTGAGGGGGCCACGCCAAGCATGTGCGGGAAGGGTGACAGGAAGGGTGCTGGGTGTCTGCGGTGAGCGGCAGAGGCTCCGGGCAGCGGGTCCTCGGTGGTTCTCAGGGGCTCAGACTCGGCCTGTCAGCTAATTTCACGCCCAGATGCTCAGCTCACACACACTTCTCGCCTTTCCCACTCAGGAAAGACCCTGGAGCTCACGTGGGGGTTTCCCTCTTAATCAGTGTAGGTAGAATTAGAGAGATTTTTTTTACTAAAATTTTGCTTGGAATCAGTTGTGGCCAGTGAGTCGGGCTTGCTGCTCCTGCGGGGGGCGGTCAGCGGTCCCAAGGCTGGGAGCCGGGGGTCAGGTCCTGAGCTCCCTGCCTTTCGTGAAAGTCGTTCCTGGCCTTGCAGGTTCCGTGTAGTTCCAGCCAGGGCCCAAGTGCAGTTCGGTTCTGTGAGGCTGGGCTGTTCCCCCCTCTGGTGGTTTATTATTTTAATTTTGATTTTTAAATATGTTTCATGAAATGCAGCGCTAGGGAAATCACTGTGCCTCCACCGCGAGATACCGCAAGTGGGAGGGAATGTGAGGAAGGTTTGTTGCGCCACCGCGTGGCCGGAATTGAAACCGCACCCTCGCCCTGAAGCAGGGCCGCTCCTAACGGGGACGGAGCCCGAGGTGCGCGTGGGAAGTGGGCGCCAGCGGTCTGTCCACGGGCGCAGCGTCTCGCTGCCCGATGCCCGGGTGAAAATGCAGAGCCCACCCGGAACAGGACACCACGGGGATCTGTGACTGTTTAGTGGCCCAGGGCCAGGAAAGACCACGTGTGGCAGAGGAGCGACCTCTACCGGCACGTCACCGGCAGTGACACGTCCCATAGCCAGAGGCCCGAAACCAGAGCGTCCGGGGGACTTTCCGCGTTTAATTCTTACCAACTTTACTTTTACACGATGCTCTCAGTAATAAGTACTGTTGCCAGACTTTTTAAAGTATTTCGAACAATGTGCTACAGCCCAGGTGCCCTCCATCTACCTGCACATCCTGAGCGGGTGCTCTGTCTAGAGCCCTAGAGGGGCGCCTGGTTGTTCACCCGTAGTCCCCGCTCTGCAGCGCCCCCCAGTGCCGGGAGGACTGAATAGATAAGACGACATCCTTGGTTGGCCTAGGATGATTGACTGCAATCACACGAGTTAGGGAACAAAGACGTCAAGCTTGCAAAGTTAAACAATTGTGTTTAATAACAGTACGGAAGACATTATAAGAAAAAAATATTCAGCCAAGATTTTGACATATGTGAGTCTTTAATATACTAATAATTATTGTTATGTTATCACAATCATTAATAGCTATCATCAAGTTTTGCAGGAGTAAAGTTTTACCTTTATGAGATAAGTATTGTTTTTACCCTCATTTAATAGATTAGGAAACGAGAGGTTACATAATAATAGACCCTGGAGACAGGATTGAAACCCAAATCTATCTGACCAGGATCCCAACTCTTGCTATACTGTAGGTTTGGGTTTTTCCCCCCTAAATTGTGGCTCAAGACAAGTATATATCCACTGGCAGCTAATATTTTAGTGTTTACACATTTAGATGACACAGAGCAATAGTGTCACCTGTTGCTCTGTATTTCTGTTGCATTTGAACAGCGTTTGGAATATTGGCCTTTAGCCATGTGTACAAGAACTATATCTCTCCCTTGCTTTTCCCTTCAGGGCTGTGACACACAGATGCTCTGCGACCTGTTGCTCAGGTTGAAATCCACCATCTATTTACCTGGTGACTTCATCTGCAGAAAGGTGAGTGCACCACTTCTCAAATGCAGGACAGGTGAATAGGTACATGTGAGGAGTTCAGACCTAAGTCAGGAGCATCGTTTAAACAAAACAAGGGCGAATTCCAGAGCACAAGCAATGATTATGGCAGACAAGTCTGTGAAAACAGCAGTGTGCTCTCAGAGCTCAACGTGGAATGAACGAGATGGTATGGATTTCATTACTTACGGGTTACAAAGGGTTGGTCTGAAAAGCTGCTTTTTACAAATGCAAATCCTCAAGCATCACACTCCATGAATCCTAGGTTCTTAAAGTCGAGGAAAGGTTACAGAAATTGAAGGTGGGTCTGCCCTTTGCCTTCCACAGTGATCAGTTACCTCCAGTTAGCTCTCCCAGTTAGGGGATAATTGATGCCACATTTTTAAGATTTCACTGCGCTTCTATGATTACAAAAGGAATCTGTGTTCATTATTTTTAAGAAGGAAAACATTAAAAAAGCACAAAGACAAAAATCCCACCACACAGAAACAACTGTTACAGGGAAACCCCAGTGGGGTTCGGGCTGCCTGTGTCCAATTCAGAAGAGGCAGGGTTGAATCATATAAGGCATTTATTGAGATGAGCAGCCAATCAAGAAGACAGGGAGCATATGAGCATCCAAAACCTGCTTCAAGGAATAGCCTGGGGGATAGGGCTATATAGGGAAATGGGGTAAACTGAGGCTGGGAACAGAATGCAGCTATTGTGCAGCCCCAGAGGTCCACAGGTGTCAGCTGTTGTTCTTGGTCTTCTGGCGATGTCTCGATAAAATGATATCTTGGTTCCTGGTTGGGCCGGCCTGACCATGTCTGTTCAGGGACACATGGTCCACAGCTGCGCCACCTCCTTAATTGCTTTGTCCTGGGTCNCCCAGTGGGGTTCGGGCTGCCTGTGTCCAATTCAGAAGAGGCAGGGTTGAATCATATAAGGCATTTATTGAGATGAGCAGCCAATCAAGAAGACAGGGAGCATATGAGCATCCAAAACCTGCTTCAAGGAATAGCCTGGGGGATAGGGCTATATAGGGAAATGGGGTAAACTGAGGCTGGGAACAGAATGCAGCTATTGTGCAGCCCCAGAGGTCCACAGGTGTCAGCTGTTGTTCTTGGTCTTCTGGCGATGTCTCGATAAAATGATATCTTGGTTCCTGGTTGGGCCGGCCTGACCATGTCTGTTCAGGGACACATGGTCCACAGCTGCGCCACCTCCTTAATTGCTTCGTCCTGGGTCAAGGGGAGTGTAGGGGTGCAAAGGCCTAGGAGAAAGAAACTTAAGGAAAAAGAAACTTAAACCCCTGCTCACATGTGTTCTACGGTTTATAAGTAATATGATTATATTTCAGATTAATTCAGGTGCTAAATCTATGGACTTTATAAGTGCCCCTATCACAACCGCTATTCGTAAGTGTTGACCTTTTTATGCTGCTTAATGGAGAGTTTTGTACAATTGGCATCATTTTGCACTTACATCTGAAACGTGCTCTGTCGTGAACCTTTTACATATTGTCGAGTAATCTCCCGTGGCCTCATCGTTAAAGCTGCATCATGTTTCAGTCTATGACCATCATAATCAGTTTCCAAGTGTTCGCCAGGATCACTCTAAGGTGAACATTTCCCGCCTCTCTGATGACTAGAGTGAGGGGGAGAGAGGAATGATGACGTTGGGTTTTATGTCTTGAGAGACTAAATCAATAAGTCAATAATCAAAATGAAAATAGAGCAAGGTGAGCAGTTCAGAGAAATGAGAGCCGACCCCAGGCCCTGCGGAGTTCACCTGTGAGCCAGGTGAGGAGCACCTGCCTCGTTACTGAGTCACGGGGGAGAGCTGTGGTGGGAGGAGGCACAAGTGCTGTGGGACCCAGACGGAGGACACTGGTCCCACTGGGCACCAGCAGGATTTCCTGGAGAGCATGGCGCTCAAGCTATGTCTCGAAGGAGGAACTGGTGCAAGCCAGGAGGACACAGGCCTCCCAGACGGAGGAGAAGATGAGAGGACTGGGGAGCTTTTCCCAGAAACAAGCTGCAATCTTGAGTGTTGCGGTGCCCGCCCCCCAGCCCTGGAGACAGCTTCCACCCAGGACCCCTGAATGTGTGAACCGCTCACTTGCTCTCTGAGGGCTGCCACCCTCTACACTGAGCTCTCGCTTTTCCACACGTCCCCCTAATTAGTACACAGCCAACCTCTGGAGCTGGGTCTGATCTCATTTTGTTCACGCCATCAGACCTTGTGCTCTGAGGATCGTCTCCTTCATTCGAATGCTAATTAAACTTGCAGGAAAGGCTTAAATTAGCTTCAAAATATGCAAGAAACAGTAGAAGTTTGCGTTCATTGATTGTGGCAGATCTCCTCGGAAAATTACAGAAATGATCATTAAGAAATAATTAAAATGCGGGACTATATTTAAGCGCCCATTATGCATGTCCACCTCCAGTCGGTTGTAATGTCTGCCTTTGAGAAATCGTCCCAGGTTCTGAAGCATCACGTCATGCAGAATACAGAATGTGACCCTGCTCCCATCACTACCTCCTGGAGCGCCTCCTGGAAAACTAATTTTCCGATACTTCTAAAAACAACCCTTAGCTACTCTATTGGCTTCTGAGAGATGGCCTTGGTGTCGGAGTCATTGTTAGATGTGGTCTGTCCGTACCTGTTACAGAGTCAGGTGACATGGGGCTGCTACTGCTGAAGCCAGCGTCTGCCAGCCTTGTGAGTTCACTCAACACACACCTGTCCCAGCCTCTACCACTAGTTTTTAAATAACAATAACGAGCTCTCGCCTACGTGGCCTCTCGGGGATTCCTGCAAGAATTAGATGAGTAGCAGAGGGTACAGGGGGGATGAGTGGTGGTGGAAAGAGGCTTGATTTGGGGTGGTGAACGCCCAGCATGGCGCACAGGTGATGTGTTGTGGAATCGTGCACCTGAAACCTGTATGGTTTTGTTAACCAGCGTCACTCCGATAAATTCAGTAAAGGGGGGAAAGAAAGAAATGAGTTAGTATCTATGAAAGTGCTTTGTAATTATAAAGTCGAGGGTCCTGCCCTGGCTGGTGTGGCTCAGTGGCTGGGGCGTCGTCTGTGCACCTAAGGGTCTCAGGGTCGAGTCCTGGTTGGGGCGCGTCCGCTCTCTGGAATCAGTGAAAACACATCCTTGAGTGAGGATTAAAAAATAATAAAATAAAATGTAAAAGAAGGTCTTTGTTTAAAAAAATAAGTGAAGGGGGATGTTCTGAGAGAACAGATGCAGGAATTAGGACAAGGCAGGGTAACCACCAGGCGTTGCTGGGATTTCTAAAGTGCTGAGCGAACGCCAGGTGCTGTCGGCAGGAGGCCATGGGAACAGCCCTGACGAGGTGCCTCCACACTGGAAGTTTCGCGTTGACCTGAGAATGAACACACGCCGAACATCCTGCACAGGGACACACCAGGCCTGCCGCCTGCCTGCTCGACCAGGGGATGAGCCCTGGGCCTTTTCTGCTGCTGCCAACTCTCCTGGGGCTTTGGCCCGCAGCTGGGCCAACCTGTGCCTGCAGTGTCCTCTCTGTGACATGGAAACAGCGGTGCTCACTCTGCCTCCTCAGGAAGGTAATGGGGGAAGAAATGAGAATCCCAGTTTTACAGAGGCTCCAGAGAGGTAGAATGTGAGACTTTAAATTCAGCCAACAGTTACAATCCAGCAGTAATTCATGTTCAGGACAATAACCCTGGGGTCACAAGACTTCAGGACTTCCCAGGGATTGTTAAATGCTATCTCCCTCGCTCGCTCGCGAGTGGCCGTGTGACAAGCCCTGACTCGGCTCTGGGACACGGCAGACGTCGTCTCAGCCACCGCAGAGCATCAGCTCTCATCCCCGCCCAGTGTCTGTACCCACCTCAGGTCTCGAGATGGTTGCTTTTCCATTGATGGTCCTTCCTCCCTCATCTATATTTATTCCCCTAGAAGAGTTTCTGTTCCTTCGTTTGGGTATAACTGTCAAGAATGAAGTTCCTGTTTGTTTGTCACACAGGGAGAAATTGGCAAGGAAATGTACATCGTGAAGCAGGGGGAGGTCCAGGTCCTTGGAGGCGCCGATGGTGCTCAAGTTCTGGTCACTCTGAAAGCCGGGACCGTGTTCGGGGAAATCAGGTATCTGCCCTTAGCTTTTCAGAGAGGGCATTTTTCTTGCCAGCTTTGCACCCACAGGGCTGCCTGGGCCCAGGGAGGCTGTGCTTTCTGTTCTGCACAGACATGGCTCCCAGGGGCCCTGGCACCCACATTCAGTGTGTTGGGCATGAGAGTCCCAGCCCTGGGGACAGTGCCCGACCCGCTTAATGCCTGATGAATGGTTATTGAATAAGTAAGTGAACGCGGGGATCGTCCCGCTTCTGCAGACGTACTGAGCATGCTCCCTTTGTCCGGAATCTGCGCACGTGGCCTGGTGCCCTTTGCCAGTTTTCATTACCTCTCGAGAACAGCATGGCGAGTTTATCTCTGTAAAATTACTTTGCTTTTCTTTTTTATTTCTCTGAGGTTTATTCCCCAAAGTGAAATAACTAGGTCAAAAGGTAGAAACATTTCAGTAACTCTTGTGATCTACAGGCAGATTATTGTCCAGAGAAATGGAACCGATTCACAGTTCGGCCTGCCGTGCAGAGCTGGTTTTCCCTGTCGCCCCCGACGTGACTTCATTACCCCCATTGGCTTGCATTTTAATAGGTTGTTTTCATTTTCATGTCTCTAAATAGTGCCCAGGAAATAATAGGCCCTCAAAAAATATTTGCTAAATGAATTCATTTCCTGTGGGCCTGTTTCTTTTCATAAACGTGATCACTTACCGCCTGCATTTCTCCCGTGGCCGGCCTCCCGTCTCATCACACAGAGCCAGTTGTTGAGTAGAATTTAGGCTCTGGTGTGTCCTTGTGTGGTTTTAGATGGTCTGGTTTTCATTTAAAGTATTTAAGTTCTGGCTTTTCACTACTTCTGTTGGTCAAATCACCCATTCCGTGGACTTTTTATATTTACTTTGCGTCATTGTGAAAAGGCCAAATATTTTGAAAAATAATTTTAAACCTCTTTTTTCCTGAAGCCTGTGATCTTTTCAGAAAACCACACCACACCAATAATTCTCCTTCTGCCCAACCTCACTTCACTGTGCTGGACACGTGGCAGGTGCCTAGTGATACACGATTGGAGTGAAATTGAAAAGGTCCTTGAGTTTGTGTCTGAGGTGCTGGCAGACAGGAGGAAGTAGACTTGGAGCAGGTCCCGTGTTTCCTGGATGCTGACCGCCAGCCCCACCTGCTTGCCCCCAGCACATGCCCTTTGGGAATCTCTATCTGGGGTGTGAATATTTAGGGATCTCCTTGCTAAGCTACTTTATGAGTGAGGCTTTCCGTTCATGGAATGCCAGAGAAGGGTTTTGTGGATGGGGGAGGGAAAATGTGCTATTTTAAACTTTGCTAAGAGAGTCTGGGCAAAATCCATCTGGCAGGCACTTTCTTCTGTTCAAACACTCATCAAGCATCCAAATGTGAAACCTGTAGGCAAGTTTAATTAAAGCTTGAGAAATCTCAAAATAGCTTGGCATTTAAATATGTTGTTTCTGTTCTGCTCTCTCAGTCTGACAGCACAGGGACACTCTCAGGCCCAAATTAAGCTCCCACGGTCACCTAGCTCTGCCCAGCCACTAGACTACCCCCATCCATAGCACCAAAATGCGAATGAAGTAGGCTCATCCAACCATCAAGTCTTCAAATATTAACATCCAATCTAGAGAAATGGGTCGGAAGATTCATAGGAAGTTGGGTAGATACATGACTGAAGAGATGATTGTGGTGATAGATGATGATAGGTAGGTACTAGAGAGAGAGACTGATTGATAGATACCTACATAGATAGATAGGTAGACAGACAGACAGATAAAAGTTTATTTTGCTTCCTTAAAAAACGAGGTGAAGGCAGAACAGTTCCTGGGAACTGAGACTCCACGTCCTTAATGGGAGGGGAGTCAGGGTGAACCGTGTGGGAGACTGTGGCTGCCGCGTCCATGACTCTGCACAGTCACCAGCAGGGAGCGACCTCTGCAGCAGAGGGAAGGGTACCGTTTGATATTTATGTTTAAAAGGTCCTGGTGGGGGGAGGGAGACTGGCAACAAGCCCTCCTCTCTCCCACAGTCTCCTGGCAGCGACTGGGGGTAACCGCCGGACGGCCAGTGTGGTGGCCCACGGCTTTGCCAACCTTCTCACTCTGGACAAGAAGGCCCTCCGAGAAATCCTGGTGCATCACCCAGATTCAGAGAAGCTCCTCAGGAAGAAAGCCAGGTACAACCTCCAGAGCCCCATAGAAAGGAGTCACTTTTAATCCGTAACATCTAAGAGGAAGACTGTAGGGTGAGGGTGGTGATCGGTCTCGTCCGTGATCCACATGGAACGACACGTGGTGCGCAGCCGTGGGTGGAAACCCAGAGCAGGAGTGATGCTGGTGTGTCTGGGAGGTGTGCCCACAACCCCCTGAGCTCACATGGCCTCTCTCTGCCCACAGAGTGCTTCTCAAGAGGAAGACTCCAGCCACAAGGGCTACCTCGCCAGTGGAAGGACGCGCCTTCCCATTCCCACCAGGACCACAGACACCCAAACTGTACAGGGCGCTCCTAGGAGGCACAGGTAGAGCCGGCCTTGCTCGACTGCGCAGACTGAGGAGAGAGCAGATGGCTCAGGTGAGCAGGGAAGCCATGGGCAGTGATGGGAGGCGCTGGGCCAGGTACACCGGACTGGCTCCCACTTACTCCATTCAGACCTGGGGTGCTTCGGAGGGTTGTAGAGGAAGAGAAGTGAGTTTCTCCCCAAGGCTCTCCCATGAGCTCACGCAAGGGAAAACCACACTTCCTATAGCATTTTTATGGTATTTGGCTAATACATTTTATTAAAAAAATATTTAAAATGTTATCTTCATAAAATAAGTAAGTAAATATTTTAAAAGTGAAGCAAAGAGTCCTGAGCACCTGATTCAGGGAGAGTTTGGACCATCAGGAAGAGAATCCTAAGGGGGGACAGAAACGCAGCCCAGGCCTCAAAGTGCGAGGCAGATGTGGAGCTGAGCCCTGCTCGCAGGCGCATCCCCAGCTCAGCCAAAGGACCTCGCATGCAGGGTGGACGGATCTAACACCTCATTAACTGGTTCAGACCCCCTCTGCCTGATGGCGATCTTAGCCTTCATATCGTCCGTCACGACTGCATGGTGTGTCGTTATGATTTCAATACCAGTTCTCCACTTCCCAGGAAAACTGTGTGCACTCCGGAGGAGGGGACAGAGGACCGGGATGTGGAGATGCAGGAGGATGGCTGGTAGAGGGACCACGAGACAGATCCGGATGCGCAGCAGGCTCTGTCCTTGCCAAGGAATGGCCCCCGTGGGTCAGAAGGGCAGCGTTGCCCAGAGGAGCTGCCCACCACTCGCTCCTCATCAGCGTGGCTCCTGCCAAGACCGAGGCCGAGGCTAAGGCAGGGGACGAGGTGCTGATGGTTGAAGTCAGGGAACAGGCTCCGCAGTAAACGTCTGAGCACCTTAGAGTCACCTAGCTGGTCCCCAAAGACGTGATCCCCCAGATGCTGGCCTCCATTCACTAGGGGGAATACCTTCCTGGGACCCTGGGNTGGCATTTAAATATGTTGTTTCTGTTCTGCTCTCTCAGTCTGACAGCACAGGGACACTCTCAGGCCCAAATTAAGCTCCCACGGTCACCTAGCTCTGCCCAGCCACTAGACTACCCCCATCCATAGCACCAAAATGCGAATGAAGTAGGCTCATCCAACCATCAAGTCTTCAAATATTAACATCCAATCTAGAGAAATGGGTCGGAAGATTCATAGGAAGTTGGGTAGATACATGACTGAAGAGATGATTGTGGTGATAGATGATGATAGGTAGGTACTAGAGAGAGAGACTGATTGATAGATACCTACATAGATAGATAGGTAGACAGACAGACAGATAAAAGTTTATTTTGCTTCCTTAAAAAACGAGGTGAAGGCAGAACAGTTCCTGGGAACTGAGACTCCACGTCCTTAATGGGAGGGGAGTCAGGGTGAACCGTGTGGGAGACTGTGGCTGCCGCGTCCATGACTCTGCACAGTCACCAGCAGGGAGCGACCTCTGCAGCAGAGGGAAGGGTACCGTTTGATATTTATGTTTAAAAGGTCCTGGTGGGGGGAGGGAGACTGGCAACAAGCCCTCCTCTCTCCCACAGTCTCCTGGCAGCGACTGGGGGTAACCGCCGGACGGCCAGTGTGGTGGCCCACGGCTTTGCCAACCTTCTCACTCTGGACAAGAAGGCCCTCCGAGAAATCCTGGTGCATCACCCAGATTCAGAGAAGCTCCTCAGGAAGAAAGCCAGGTACAACCTCCAGAGCCCCATAGAAAGGAGTCACTTTTAATCCGTAACATCTAAGAGGAAGACTGTAGGGTGAGGGTGGTGATCGGTCTCGTCCGTGATCCACATGGAACGACACGTGGTGCGCAGCCGTGGGTGGAAACCCAGAGCAGGAGTGATGCTGGTGTGTCTGGGAGGTGTGCCCACAACCCCCTGAGCTCACATGGCCTCTCTCTGCCCACAGAGTGCTTCTCAAGAGGAAGACTCCAGCCACAAGGGCTACCTCGCCAGTGGAAGGACGCGCCTTCCCATTCCCACCAGGACCACAGACACCCAAACTGTACAGGGCGCTCCTAGGAGGCACAGGTAGAGCCGGCCTTGCTCGACTGCGCAGACTGAGGAGAGAGCAGATGGCTCAGGTGAGCAGGGAAGCCATGGGCAGTGATGGGAGGCGCTGGGCCAGGTACACCGGACTGGCTCCCACTTACTCCATTCAGACCTGGGGTGCTTCGGAGGGTTGTAGAGGAAGAGAAGTGAGTTTCTCCCCAAGGCTCTCCCATGAGCTCACGCAAGGGAAAACCACACTTCCTATAGCATTTTTATGGTATTTGGCTAATACATTTTATTAAAAAAATATTTAAAATGTTATCTTCATAAAATAAGTAAGTAAATATTTTAAAAGTGAAGCAAAGAGTCCTGAGCACCTGATTCAGGGAGAGTTTGGACCATCAGGAAGAGAATCCTAAGGGGGGACAGAAACGCAGCCCAGGCCTCAAAGTGCGAGGCAGATGTGGAGCTGAGCCCTGCTCGCAGGCGCATCCCCAGCTCAGCCAAAGGACCTCGCATGCAGGGTGGACGGATCTAACACCTCATTAACTGGTTCAGACCCCCTCTGCCTGATGGCGATCTTAGCCTTCATATCGTCCGTCACGACTGCATGGTGTGTCGTTATGATTTCAATACCAGTTCTCCACTTCCCAGGAAAACTGTGTGCACTCCGGAGGAGGGGACAGAGGACCGGGATGTGGAGATGCAGGAGGATGGCTGGTAGAGGGACCACGAGACAGATCCGGATGCGCAGCAGGCTCTGTCCTCGCCAAGGAATGGCCCCCGTGGGTCAGAAGGGCAGCGTTGCCCAGAGGAGCTGCCCACCACTCGCTCCTCATCAGCGTGGCTCCTGCCAAGACCGAGGCCGAGGCTAAGGCAGGGGACGAGGTGCTGATGGTTGAAGTCAGGGAACAGGCTCCGCAGTAAACGTCTGAGCACCTTAGAGTCACCTAGCTGGTCCCCAAAGACGTGATCCCCCAGATGCTGGCCTCCATTCACTAGGGGGAATACCTTCCTGGGACCCTGGGAGATCACAGGCCAACCCGAGCTTTGTTTCTAGGACTCTGGAGCCTGTGATCTTACCTGGTGGTAACAAGATGAAGGAGAAGCCGTCCCTGTTCTCTGCTGTCAGGGCTGCGTGCAGCTGGTGTTTCTCCTGATTGTATGTGGCAGCTCTCCCTCCCCCCCGTTTTCTTGATGATGTTTTTCCCCTTCACTTGGTTGGCTGGGCCTTGGCTCTGACTCACCAGCCTTTTCTCTTAACAGCATGTTTTGAAGTCTGCCTGGCGCTGCTACCAGCCTTTTCTCTTAACAGCATGTTTTGAAGTCTGCCTGGCGCTGCTCGTCTCTGTTACAAGCTCCGTGTACATGCATATGGCCTCCTGTTTGTAGGGGACTGTGATTGAGTTCTGTGTAATAAGCCTACTTCCAGGTCCCAGAAGACTCTGGTTATTGCAGCAGCTCTTTGCCTAGAGAGCGTTGAAAAACTGTATCAGCCAGAACTCCCACCGCACCGATGCACCTGGCCAACTGGGGATAATCAATTGCTGTGATACAATGTAGCATTTGGTAGAGGCCCTGATTTTTAATCCAGTGTTAGAGTATCCTAAAAACCTGGTAAGTTTTACAAAAGGTAGGTTCGTGTTTTCAGGGGTTAAGGGAATGCAGAGAAATTGTTAATAATACTTACCTGATACAGGGAGTTTTGTGTAGAAAGAGTGGTTAGAAAAGCCAGAGGAAAAAACAGGAAAAAACCCTGAGCTTGTGAATCTATGCTGCCCCCTTGCACCCTGTAAAGAAATTAAAAGAGTTGCGATTGTGTGCTCTCCGTCATTATTTCTCCTCCCAGCCCTCCTGTTTCAGATACCGTGACCCCATCTCCAGTCTCTCAGACTCAGACTAGGAGTAATCACGCCTCTTCCTTCGTACAGTGTCCCCAAGTCCGTTTTCTTTCTTAGAGCTTCCTAATTATCCTCCTTTTTTGGTTCCAGTACTGACACCTCACTACATATTTTCTGTTCAAATATACATTTGGTTTTCACCTACAGTCTGTGCTAATCAGGGGTCTGCTGTCTCCACCCTTTGCCTTGGGAAAATCCAGTGAGGAAATAGATCCCTGCTGTTCACGTGGTGCTGGGCTCTGTTATGGAAGCAGCCCCAGCAGGCGAAGGTGCTCAGCTTCATGAATATCAATGGTGGGAACCGCTGCTGGTTGGAGAAACTGGATAGAGGGACCAACAATGGGAAGAGGGGACATGCTGGGGATTCAAGAGGCAGGGGTAAGACAGTCCCAGGAGCAACTGTGAGAGACATTCTGAGTCCCCTAACTGTTCTCAGCGCATTCACCAGGTGTGCCACTAACAGGGAGGCCCCATGCGTCCCCGGGGGGAACATCAGTAGCTGAAATCAGATTTGTGACCTCCATAGACACTGATCACACTCAGCACATCTTAATAAATCCATCCCCAGGTCCCATCCTCTCCTCACTCCTAACAGGCCCAGGCCCAGAGCCCACTCTTAATACTAATTCCAGCTTTGCTTAAAGATGGGAAATAAGGGGCGGGAGGGGAGACATGGTAAAACATATATTGAGTCAGACCAAAGGTACTTGACATTCATCTTTTAAGTGCCTTCCCCATACACCATAGTAAAATGTGATGTTTTCCTCTGTGAGCTTTATGACTGGCTGCATTTTTCCTGCTACAACTTTGTGACTAGAAGTGATGGTGCAAAGGTCAAGTAAATGTGCACCATTAAGCAACACGACACATTTCTAGGGGAGCCAACTAAACACTGTGTTCTCTTCTAGGCTCTGGGGACACAGCCGTGAACAAAATAAACAGAACCTCTGGTTTCTGGGCACTTACACGTGAGTGTACCAAGGGGACAAGAGGCCACGTAAGTGACCGGTACACAGGGAATCGGGGCAGAAGGTGCTGGGGGAGGAGGAACAGCTTTACATAGGGGGGCAGGAGTGTGGGGTCAGGCTGCCGAGGAACCTGAGATCCACAGGAGGGGCTGCAAGTGCGCCAGGCACACCCCATGGAAAAATAACAACACCCCCCCCAAACTCTTTAAAAAATACATAACAGGTCATCCAATATACTACATTCGCTTTATTTCCAACTTTTCCACTGGTTTTGACAACATTCAGGGAAGAATAGATTGAATGAAACAAGGCACTGCTGTAGCACATCAAGAAATCGCTTGCTCCAGAGGGACTTCACCTGGAAGGTGTGCTCAAGTCAGCTCATTTATTCCTGACTTACACACTGTTGTCAGGGATGGCGCCCAAACAGCACAAAACAGCTCTTGCAGTCACTCTGACCTCTCGCTACACGTTCTGTTCGTCTGAGACCATCAGCCGCAGGTGGGAGAGACGGACTGAAGACAGCTCTTGGGAGACATGTGGATGAAGGGGTGTGGCCGTCCATGGCTTACTTTGTCTTTCAATGCACTCTGAGAACCAGGGGCGCTCGGAGGGTGGCACAATGGGCAAAGGGGCCATTTAATATAAAACAATATGAAGTCACATGCGATGAGGTGACATGTAGGAACTGTAAGGACTTTATGAAGTAATTTAGAAACTTTAACTGCTTTTATTCAAACTGAAAAACGATATCCACCACCCTAATGTGCTGGGATCACAGTTCTTATGAGAAACAGCAGCTACTGATGAACCTGGTCAAGAAGGAATAAAATAATTTTAAACAGGAAACATTTCTGGTTAAAACCAGAATATGAACTGTGAGAATCTAGTCAGCTGGGCAGTGGGATCAGGGCTGGGAAGGGGCAATGAAGCTGATGAGCTCAGGCCGGGGCTCCCCAGCGGCCCCCGTAGGCGACACCGGTGCTGCAGGAGCTGGCTGGACTTAAGGAGCAAGGAGGAGCCGGGAGTGCATTTAAAAGAAAACTGAAAACCAGCAACATCTGTGTGCTGCTTCCAAGCACAGAGCTGAGTCAGAACACAGGAAACAGGGCTCCAAACTGTTGGACGGATGGGTCCCCCCCACACATCAGAGAACGGGACAGGAGCCAAGGGCGGTTCCAGGACTGAGCGCTGTCGGCAGGCCCCAGGCACCCCTGAGGAATGTGACCAGCACACAGGCTCAGCACTGAATTCTTACAGGTGACTGGCCACTGTGTGACACGCGGGACTTGGCACACAGGTCCTCGGCAGGGCACCGCGGAGCTGCGCCGATGGTACAATGTTGCTGAGTCACCTGTGCTAACGGGTGAGTATCGGGAGTTCTCACAAAGAAAGCATGTCACGTCCACTGTATCTTAAGACAGAAGCTGGATTTTTTAAAAGTTACAACAAATTTTATGCTTATACAATACATTCTGGGTTAGGACATAGCACATTATTGAAATGGAAAATGAGTTTGATTGTCATGAGTTTAAAAATCAGACTGAAAAATGCTACTTAAAAAAAAGGAGAAAATGTCTAAATGAAAGTGTCAGATGAGTGTTCGGGGCCTTGAAGCAAAGTGAGGAACTGTCCTCAACGAGTGCAGCTGCTGCTGAGGCCGTGGCGCCCGGCCTGGTCCCGCGGCTCCAGCAGAGAGCAGCCTGAGCCACTCACGAGTGCCAGTGACGACGCTCTAGTCACGGGGATTCCAGGACCTGCTCCCGCTGGCACACGCAGACCCCAGGCTCAGGGACAGCGTCCCACAGGCACAGCGAAGTCGGGGCGCAAACGTGCACACCCACTGGCACGAGGCTTTGGTCACTGACTGTATCGTGAGGCCAGGGTGCACCTGGCTGCTCAGCGCTCTGCAGGAGGCCCGGCCGTGAACTGTGCTGTGTCTACGCTGCCAGGAAGCCTGGGACGATTGACCCCAAGAAGATCCCATGTCAGTGACTCAGGGCTCGCCACCGAGATGCACCTGGGCTTGTTACACACAGCACGCCAGAAATGGCACCATCCCAGCAGGTCCCGTTCTTTCCACAGAGAAATGTTCAAAACTGCGTTTCCATCCCATGGAAGGAAAAGACCACAACAAAGCCGGCCTTCCTCGCCTGAGTGTCCACTCCAGGCGGCCGTACTGCCATCACCAGAAATCAGGGGTCACCGCTGGGCTGATTGGCAAAGACTCACTTAGCACTTTCCCTCCAGGAAGAATAAAAGGGGCATCAAGTAGAGAATTGCAGAGAACTGGGTTACACGGTGAAGGCCGGGGCAAGTCCGTGAGGTGACGGGTCCGGGACAGGGGCAGGACCTCACTTGGTGGCCTCGCGGTTCTTGGGGGGAAGGAGCTTGTAGGTGTTGAAGTAGCCGACCACCTGCTGGGGGATCTCGGCCAGGACACACTGTGCCAGCGCCTCCTTGGGAGCCTGGAGAAGACAATTAATGGCTTCATTGGTGACCATGTCTCACATGAGGACAGGGCCCCACCCCTGGGCCTGCGCATTGTCTCAGGACCAGCCCGAGAGCTGAGGGAGTCTTGACCGCCCATGACCATATCCAGGCTCTTTCTGGCGCCAGTGTTGTGGTGAGCGATGACTTCTTGCTGTTCTTTAACTTTAAACACAGGTGTTTCATTCACTAGGTATCAATCCTTTAAGCCTTTTATTTTGAAATAATTGTAGATTCCCAGGAAGTTGCAAAAATAACAGAGAGAGAGAGGGAGAGAGAGAGAAGGAGAGGGAGAGAGAGAGACGGGGGGGGGGAGAGGGGGGCCCTGTGTACCCTTCAGTTCCCTCAGAGGTGACAGCTCCTGTCACAACAGGACCATGTCCAACCAGGACAGTGACACTGTCCAGTGCACAGCCGTTACTGAGTCACTAGCATCACCTGTGCCCCTGTGTGCGTGCGTGCGTGTATGTGTGCCTGGGTTTATGTGTGTGACTATGTGTATGTGTTCCTGTGTTTATATGCATGTGTGCCTGTGTATCTGTGTGCGTGCATGTGTGTGTGCGGGGGTGTGTCTGTGAGCACACACAGTGACTGTCGTGGGCAGACCTGTGTAACCACCACCACAACCAGGACACACACCTGTCTCATCACCACAAAGATCCTCATGTGGCCACTTCTTCTCCCACCTTCCCAGGTCGCTGGCGCACAACCTGCAGTGAGCCCACCCACCCACCAGGGCTCTTCACAGGGAAGGTTCCCGCATCTGTGGGCACCTGCTCAGCCTTCTGCTGGACGGGGAGGGTGCCCAGTACTCACGTTCTGGAACTGTCTGAAAGGCACGAACTGCACGATGTCTCTGACCGCCGCCTCGCCTGCCGGGGAGCGCAGGGCCCCACCGTCACCGTCCAGGAACTCCATGGCGCTGAAGTCGGCACCGCCCACCCCGACGATGATAATGGACATGGGCAGCTTGGCGGCACTGACGATGGCCTGCCGGGTCTCGTCCAGGTCTGTGATCACGCCGTCCGTGATGATCAGGAGCACAAAGTATTGCTGCCAAAGAGAGAGCAGGTCCCGTGAGCAGCTGGAGCCCCGACAACACTGGCAGCTTGATGAGTTGCTAGCCTGCCTCTCGTGCAATTTCCTCGCCAGTCCCCACCCAGGACACCCCCTACTCAGGGTCTGGGATCTCTGATGACAAGGGAATTTGCTGACGGAAACGCTGCCGGTTCATTAAAAGTGCAACAGACCACAAAATAGGGGAGCACAAACCCACGGGAGTGAGACGTGGAAATGCAAAGATCAAGCTCCCAGCAGGCACAGGGACAGGACACAGTCATGTCACAGACAGATGGCAGCCCAGGGGCAGGACCGCCCGCACCTCCCCGCCCAGCGACCAAGCACTCACAGAAGCTGTCTGCTGCTGTGTGGCTGCGGCAGCAAACCTGGCCACGTGGTTGATGATGGGGGAGAAATTCGTGGGCCCATAGAGTTTTATCTGAGGCAGGCAGGCCCGATATGCCTCCACAATGCCCTGGATCCCTGGACAGAAAGAGCGGCATTGAAAATTCTCAGGTGCACAGGCTGGTTCATTACCCACCACCTGGCTGGTGTAATTACACACATCAGGGGTCAGTGCCTTAAACCGTCAGAGGTCGGTGTTAGGAGCTCCTCCATTTCTACCATCTCAGCTCACTCTCCAGGTCAGTGTACAAACTACTAATTAAATTCTTCACAAATGTCAAAGCCGTCAGTCCCTGCATTGGAACTGAGTCACGCCCGGTCCTTTGTGTCAAGGGAACGAGTGAGATGTGGTATTTCTGGGCAAATAAATTCGGTGATTAATTAGGAAGAGGGATTTGACTTCCCTGCCTTAAAATAAGGCTGTCTTTCTCCTGCACAGTGTCTTCTTTGTCTGAGACCGACGGGCTCTTTCCCAGTCTGTGGCTAGACCTAGGAAACTTGCCCCGATGGCAGCCAGAGGAGCCTCTTGCTCAGAGGAGGTGCACTTCGGGACGAATTGCCTCTTCAATCATCCACATTCACTGGCAACCCGTGAAAACCAAGCACAGGTTCCAAAACTGCTCCCCTTTTCCAGTAAGCATGAAACGATACCCATGTCCAGTGGCCGGGGATGGAAAGGTCGCCCCAGCCGCTGACATGTACAGGAGCCCCACTCAGTGGGAAGCATGTCCCAGAAAAGGGAGGAAACCCCGAGAGACTCTCCCAGCACCATGTCCACCTGCTTCTACCATGTGGACGAGGTGGGATGGGCTCTGCTGTTAAAACCCACACGTTCCCAGTCAGGAGGCCCCACCACAGAAACTCAGCCTGTGGTCTCCAGTCTGATGCCTCTGCCCCCCCCCCGCCCCCGGACTTGACACTTCAGGTGAAGGCTCAGTGGGGTGGAGGAAGAGGCACCTGGGTACGTGACGTGTTGGGGAAGCGTGAACCTCAACGTTGGCCCTGCCTTCCCGCCAGAGGGAAGCTGCGCCTGGAGCCGCCCCCACCCGAGGGAGACTGCGTCCACGTGCGTTGACGCTGGACACATGCCGTGTGGAGTGCCCACTCCTCCGAGGGGGACTTTGGGAGACCACGGCCTGACTACTCATTTCGCTGAGAGTTCACTCTAAAATCAACTTGTACATGAAAGGGATACGGACCTTCTCATCAACTGAGTCTCAAGGCAGAGAATTCCTTTGTCCTGTTAAAAACCCTTTAAGGCGGAAGATAGAAGCCCAGATCTTCCCTACCACAGGGGTGATGGCACCACACTCCCCACCCGCTGGGAGCCTCTCCCACTCTCTGAGACGGAGGGTAAGTATGTCACAGGGAACCAGAGAGGGATGCAGGCTGTGAGCTGGCGATGCCCATGTGTCACTCACCATTGCAGTGGGGGTTGGATGGGTTGAAGTTCATGGGAAACTCATGTGAGACCTGAAGAGAGGAAACGGGGCAGGTGAGGCTGGTTTGCGTCCCCAGGAGGTGGATCTTTAAGACAGGCCCCTCTTACCTGCCACTGAGGAGGGATCTGTGCTCCAAACCCAAATGCTGGGAACATCTTATCACTACAGAGAAAATTTCAAAGAGTAAAAGGTCATTTCTTTCAAAATGGAGCTTTACCTTTACTCATAATAGGACCAGTATGAGCTTTTTTAAATTTTAAATCTTAAGAAAATATAAAGATAAAAGATTACCCATAATAACCAGAGGAAAAATATGTCACTATATGGCAGTTCTCCTTCTAAATATTTTATGTGCTCGATCCGAGAATTGCTGTGACTTGTTTGGCTTCCACCTGGCGAGCTCCTCCATCTCCTCCTTTGTCAGCCACTCCCGGGGACTGTCTGAGCACCACCCTGCGAGCTCTTACCCTGCGCACAGGCCCCATTAGGACTGTGTGACTGAAATTTTCAATTTACTTCTAGCTGTTTTCAATGGAAACACTTAGACGCTTTGTTATTAAACATGCCTGTGGGTATATTTTCACTCAGGATTATGTAACCAAGTGTCCTATAAGTAACCTTTTACTGTTTTTATAGGTTCTGCCTTAAACTCGAGGCTGGTCCTGAGGCTGCCACCTTTGCTTCGGGTTTGTTTGCATTTGACCGGAAAAGTCACCTCTTTAAACGCTGTGACAGGTTAATGAAAAGCTGTATCAGTAAGTGAGGGCTTTTATCATCCAGTAACAGGTAAAAGGAAGTGGAATTTTATGCTGGGCCCTAACAGATCCAAACAAAATATTGCAAACTCACTTTTTTCCCTATTGTTTAGCAAACCTCCAAAAGGACTTATTTAAATCTATTTTAAATCTACCCACTGAGAATCCATTCAAAATACATTATAGCAATTGGGTCACGTTATCCTTGAACACTTGTCACAGTCACCATAAGATGATTTTACAATGACTGCCTAGGAAACAGGTGTATTAGAAACAGTGTCCAGGTGTGTACACAAGGTGTCCTCTGGACTCAGCCACAGGTACTCCAGGTAGCTTCTCCCCGTGAGCAGACCCCATGGAAACCAGGCCCAAGAACAAGAGCTGCCGGCCACACAGAGCTCGCGGTACAGGGCGCGGAGCACAGAGCACGGCGTCGGTGCCACAGACTGGGGCCGGGCCAAAGGTAAACACTAAGACTGCCCCAAGGAGAAAGACGGGTCAGACAAGACATTTCAGCAGCTTGACCAGAGAACACACAGGAGACAGAACCCGTCCCCTGAGGAGTGAGGAAAACGTGATACGCACGCATCGTAGTCCTGAACGACCAGCCCCACGGACCAGATGGCAGTCAAGTACTCGTTCACGCCATTGGGGCTGATGTAATGAAGGGAGTCGGGGGACCGCGGGTCCCCGTTGGAGCCAGTGAAGTCCACGCCCACCTGCAGGCGACAATCGCAGCCCTTACCCCAGGAGCAGGAGGACGCTACACTGTTGCCCAGGACAGCGGCAGGAGAAGGGACACGAGCCTTCATCCTGCAGCCTGCCCTAGCTCGCTCTGTGTCCCCACAAATGCCCTAGACCACAAGTGTTTCCAGTCAAATCATCTGAGCCTCAGCAGGAGCTGGCCTGCATCCCATCTACTAGACAGACGCCTAAATTGTGCATCGCTGCACCATGACTTCAGGCCAGGGCTCGCTTCTCTATGTGTGTTTGGTGGATGCTTTTATTACTGAAATTACTACAGGGCAATCGCTGCTTTGTACTCATCTGCTTTCTGCAGAAGGAACAGACCTTACTGACCCGGGACAGCCTCAGGCTGCACACCAGCACCTGTCTAAGGAGACCACACATGGTGTAAACTTCACCCCCACGTCAGCGTTGCAGGGAGAGAAGGGCAGCTGCCCATGACATGAAAGCTCAGCGTCACTCACGGTGAAGTTCAGCTGACATCCGCCCATCACGTAGTCGAGGAAGGTGCACTCCACCGTGATCTGAAAGCAAAGGGCGGCGGTTAAAGCACAGGCTCTCCCGCTGCTCAGCAGACAGGGCTCCCTGAAAACACGCCCACACTTCATGGCCGAGCAGAACATGAGCTGAACATGCGGAGCCGCCCTGCACCTGCCCACATGCCCCGCGTCTGGAAGATTCTACCCTGAAGTAATTACAGCGACGTTCAGGTTAGAGTAATGATGACCAAAGCTGAAATGCCCTCGCTTCACGTCTTAAGAAACTAATAAGGACCCTAACATGCCGAGAGCCTTACTAAGCATCATAATCGAGATTTTTAAAACCCACTTGTTTGTTGTAGGAATCTCCTGGATCTCCCTCCACTTGTGACATCACTCCCACCAGCGCAGTGGGCGATGCCTCAGGGCCTCCCGCCTGGCGCGGTAACGGGAGGTTAACCGTAGGAACCGCCGTCAAGCCTGGAGGCCGAGCTGCTCGAAAGGCTCTGCCATTTCCTACTCTGTGCTTCCCCTAAGGGGCCAGCGCCTGTGGTCCCAGCTGCCCCGACGCAGGCGTGTGCGACGTCTCCGCAGGACAGGGAACTGGGATCCGACCATGTTGCCCGAAAGGCCGCCAGGGCCAGCTGACCTCACACTGCTTCACGCTGACGACACCCGAGTTCTTGTAGCTCTTCTTCCGCTGCCTCTTCTTCTCATTGATGCACTCGAATTCCACCTGCGGGAGAGACAGCCCCTCACTACGCGCTCAGATTCCACCTGCGGGAGAGACAGGCCCTCACTACGCGCTCAGATTCCACCTGCGGGAGAGACAGCCCCTCACTACGCGCTCAGATTCCACCTGCGGGAGAGACAGGCCCTCACTACGCGCTCAGATTCCACCTGCGGGAGAGACAGCCCCTCACTACGCGCTCAGATTCCACCTGCGGGAGAGACAGGCCCTCACTACGCGCTCAGATTCCACCTGCGGGAGAGACAGCCCCTCACTACGCGCTCAGATTCCACCTGCGGGAGAGACAGCCCCTCACTACGCGCTCAGATTCCACCTGCGGGAGAGACAGCCCCTCACTACGCGCTCAGATTCCACCTGCGGGAGAGACAGCCCCTCACTACGCGCTCAGATTCCACCTGCGGGAGAGACAGCCCCTCACTACGCGCTCAGATTCCACCTGCGGGAGAGACAGCCCCTCACTACGCGCTCAGATTCCACCTGCGGGAGAGACAGCCCCTCACTACGCGCTCAGATTCCACCTGCGGGAGAGACAGCCCCTCACTACGCGCTCAGATTCCACCTGCGGGAGAGACAGCCCCTCACTACGCGCTCAGATTCCACCTGCGGGAGAGACAGCCCCTCACTACGCGCTCAGATTCCACCTGCGGGAGAGACAGCCCCTCACTACGCGCTCAGATTCCACCTGCGGGAGAGACAGGCCCTCACCACGCGCTCAGATTCCACCTGCGGGAGGAGATAATGTCCGTCCTCGCTAGTGACACTAGAAATGCCAGTGGGAATTTAAACAGATGACTGTTCTCCTGGAATCAAGCCACACAGTTCAAACCTCGGTGTCTGTCCAGTGCTTTGGACGTTAATTACTATGACCAACGACATGCCATATGCTTACAAACAAAGGGTTTTCCGTCAAACCATGAATGTTGTCTGTAGCCAAGAAACCCAAACCTCTGAGTGTTCGTGTAAATTCACTCCCCAAGATGAGTTCTGGATCATCTGGTTACTAAACAAATACTGTCCTCAGGTTTCTGAGTGTTGTGTAGTACAGAGTGAAACCGTGGTGAAGGGAGGAAATGGGAAATCGCTGTGTGGCCAAACTTTGTAGAGTTTTCAGACAGTAGAGCTGCGACTCACAGGTGAGGTCCGGGAGGCCTCGCTCAGCTTCGCCATGGTGGTCTGAAACGTCCCAATGAGGTCATGTGACCCGTCGCTATCGTAGTCGTAGCACTCTACCTAGAACCAAGTATGACAGAAACACAAGAGTCAGCACAACTGTGTTAAAACAGGACTGGCTGAAACCAGTGGGACTTAGCAGGAAGCACCTTTCCATCTGAGTAGGTGAAATGTTTAGTGTGCAGTCCTCCCTGGAGGCAGGAGCTGCTTCCTGGAGGAGTGAGGCAGACCCCTCCGACCCATGCCACCCATGGGTGGTGCCAACATGGCAGTGATAAGGCTGGAATGTCCTCAGATACAGTTTGGAGAAGATGATGTAAAGACTGTGTCTCTTTTCAAGAGCTCAAAAACTAGGACTATGGTCTGCTTTGAACAACAGTACCCACAGTGTCACATGCACATATGCACCTGTGCACATGTATGTATGTATGAGAATGCACACACCACACACACATGCACACGTATACATGTGAGAATGCACACACCACACCACACCACACCACAGCACACCCACTAGGCATTCCCATTTGAGGCAGGGGCAGCATGCACGATCATTTCTCATTCACGGATGTTATGAAAATAATAGTCCATGCCGGAGAGGTCACACTGCACGTTCACACGTTCACATGGCAGAGAAACTGCCGAGGATCAACTCCATCCCCTGCTCTCTAACTCTCAAAACCCCTCTAAGCAATTTCCAAACACCAAGAGAATCACAGATGTATGATGTTCTGATACTGCAGAGAAATACAGTGACGATGTGGCAAAGCAAGTCGTGTGTCATTAAAACAAAATGAGAAACTTTTAAAGATGGAAGGCATTCATCAGAGTAGCTCAGGAAATCAGTTTACTTACTATAGTAAAATAGCCCTGTGTGCAAGCCACTGTGTGCAGGAAAAGTTTAAAAACATTGTTTCATTGTTAACATTATTACAAGCAATCAAACAGCCCTGTGCACAAGCCACTGTGCAGGAAAAGTTTAAAACACGGTTGCATTGTTAACATTATTACAATCGAGCAATTTTGATTTAGGCATGTTTTTCTCAGCCTCTTTTGCTCTCAGGTCTAATGAAGCTTCAACTTACGACTTTCAATGTGAAAAGCAAAAGCTCTAGATTTAGTATAACAATAAAAAGTAAACATTTTTTGAATTTTTATGAATCTATTTGAGCCAAACTGACGACATATGCCAAGGAACAAGATCTTAAATGCTCTCCAAAGTCATTTTTAAAGCTACTTTTCTACGATTTATTTTGTATAGTATGTGCCTCAATGGTATGTGGATTATTTTGCATTAAAGCCAACTGAGACCTGTGGCCTCAAGAAAAACTTACGCTTCCCCTTAACTACCTAGAAGAGTTTAAATGAGGAGCCTCACGCACGGTAAGAGTTATCACCACAAATGAGGTTACCTGTCTCTAGGGCAGGGCAGACCAATGGTCACTCGACACCTGCTCTCCCTGAAAGGACCTTCTGAAGCCCCCACGGATCTCACGCTGTCCCTGCTCAGAAGGTCTTCTAGACCTCAGTTTCCCTTTGTGTCTCTAACTAGGTCGTGTAGTAGGGGTTCCCTACATAGGTATGTAATTAAATTTGGCCAGTTTCTCTTGTTAAGTTTTCTTGTGTCTATGTGAATGTTAGACAAGCCCAAGGAACCTTGAGGGGAGAGGAAAGCTTGTCCCCCCGGCGCCCAGAACCTGTGTTTTCACTGCTGTGGAATATCACACACTCACAGTGATATTAACTTTAAAGTTCTCCACAAACTAAGGACAAATTGATGGATCTAAGAAATGAAGCGCTTTTCAATAATAGCAACTTTACTGTGTCTAACCTTTATAAGACTTTCCATTTTCACTAATTTAATCCTCACTTTTTTTTGCAGTATAAACATTATTTTCTGTTATTTAATGAAGGTGACAGATGACGTGCCCAGGGTCCCTTAGCTGCTTAAAGGGCAGAGTCAAGCCCGGACTGTGGTCTGGCTCTAATTCCCACTCTTGTCCCAGGCCATCGACCTCCCTGTGTTCCCCACATTCCTTACAAAAAACAAGACAAGGACCCATCTGTTTGCTGATGTCGGGATATAAGAAAAGGCTTCTACCTGGACTCTTACGTCTAGTGTAAAAATATCTGTATAATAATATATATTTTTGATAAGTTGCTATAAATAAGGACATTTTTAAAAGTTCTTAGACATCTGCTGTGGCTCCCTGGTGCCACTCTGCTCTCTGACCCTCTGCAACTCAGGTCGCCCACAGGTCCTCAGTGACCACGCTCTGCTCTGGAAACAGGTGGCGGACACGCCATCGCCCTTCACTCTGCGCAGTGCTGTGGCAGGAGGAAGCACTGAGCTCTCAGTTAAAGCAACATCTGCCTTTTTCTGCCAGGGACACACCACAGACAAAGGGGAGTTAAAGGTTCCTATTTGCAGAGCAAAAGAATCTTTTTAAAGGAAGAAAAATTTAAATTGGACAGTTTATTTTTAAAAATAAAGAGTAAAATAAAAATCCCAATGTATGAATCAGCATTAGGTGAACCATCGGTCAACCATGGAATCTTCACACTCTTTACCCACCAGGGACACCTCCATGCCAGTCGTCTCCCCAGATGGGAACAGAGTGGGATCCTGTGGGTCCCTGTCATTCCACTCTCCTTACATACCATCTAATCAATCGATCTTATAAAAGAGGCGCGTCTGTCTGTCTGTATAATTTCACTTACCTTAATAGTCTTATCCATATCTCCGTAGCACAGGGAGTTAAGGGAGATTTTAAAGGGCCTCCAAACAGGATTCAGGTTGTTTTTAATAACCTGTAAAAACGGAGATGCAGAGAGGAGTTAGGAAATCACTGGGTTCATTCGCACTCTGCTCTTGCCCTTCCCAGGTTCTCGTTGTGCTCTGACCGACTGTCCTCCACCGGTCCAGCTGGTCAGCTTTCCCACTGAAAACCAGCTGGTTCAGTACATACAACTGCTACATGAATGTGACAGACTGTCAGGTGTGACACACGCCGAGGAAAGAGACAACTACCTGGGAAGTCACCCACCCACTCAAGGCACCCTTAGAAACTAGACTGTTGACTGTGTTGGAAACGAATTTCCAGTGTGGGGCACAGAGGACTCAAATATGGAATAAGGGAGCCTGAGAAGCACCTTGGGGACAGGTGTGCAACTCCGCGCGCGTGAGAGAGGACACGGGCTCAGACCAGATGTATAGCGTGCAGGGCATACACCTCAGTGTTCTTTACAGGGTTTTAAATTCTTCAAACTACAAACTTCACTGACAATCAAGCAGGGCAGCACCTCATTATAAGCAAAAATCAGCAGGTTGCCTCTGGCTACGTATGTCTGAACTCAGATTGATATTTTTATAGAAACATGATTTTTAAAAAAATCAGATCACGACAATCCCAAAGGAAACCCCTACCCGGCTTTCCAAGTTGAGATGCTCACCTCTGTCCGATGGACCATGAGCCAGTTTCCGTCGGACGTCTGCTTGTGGAATTCCAGGTAAGGATCCGACTTTCCAAACAGATCCTACATCAGAGGAGAAGCAGCTGTTCTTGAAACCGTTCGTTCCCCGCCTAGTGTGTGCTGGCAACACCCGAACTTGCCGACACCGCCCAGGAGAGCTGTGCCGACAATCCTGAAAATGCTCCGTGGATCACACCCTCGCTGCTCAGAAAGCAAATGGCTTTAAAACAGTGATCAATGCGACAGTAACCAACAAACACATCCTGGGCTGTGTTCATTACTGACCCTGCTCATTCCCACAGCGCTGGGCAGTTTCATGGAAGCAACATGCCAGCACCCGCCGTGCCAGCTCTCGAGGGAGCAGCGATGGGATGGACTCAGAGGGGTGAAAGGTTTGCTAAGATGGCATGTCTAACTGTCGACGGAGCTGAGTCTTAACTCCATACCTATCCTTCTGAGTCCAATCTCACACGCGAGGGAGCAGAGGTGAGTATGAATTACCTCATGAGTGAAAAGTACATCTTTGCCTCTGGGATTCCCCAGAGCACTCTACATGGTGCTCAGCACACCGCATGCTCGGAACCGCCCTTCCCGCCACCCTCAACTCAGAGAGCAACACAGTGCATGCGCGCACACACAGACACACACTCACACAGACGCGCACCCACACAGACGCGCACACACACAGACACACACTCACACAGACGCGCACCCACACAGACGCACAAACACACAGACACACACTCACACAGACGCGCACCCACACACACACCCACACACACAGACGCGCGCACACACACATACACACTCATACACACCGACGCGCACNTCTTGTTAAGTTTTCTTGTGTCTATGTGAATGTTAGACAAGCCCAAGGAACCTTGAGGGGAGAGGAAAGCTTGTCCCCCCGGCGCCCAGAACCTGTGTTTTCACTGCTGTGGAATATCACACACTCACAGTGATATTAACTTTAAAGTTCTCCACAAACTAAGGACAAATTGATGGATCTAAGAAATGAAGCGCTTTTCAATAATAGCAACTTTACTGTGTCTAACCTTTATAAGACTTTCCATTTTCACTAATTTAATCCTCACTTTTTTTTGCAGTATAAACATTATTTTCTGTTATTTAATGAAGGTGACAGATGACGTGCCCAGGGTCCCTTAGCTGCTTAAAGGGCAGAGTCAAGCCCGGACTGTGGTCTGGCTCTAATTCCCACTCTTGTCCCAGGCCATCGACCTCCCTGTGTTCCCCACATTCCTTACAAAAAACAAGACAAGGACCCATCTGTTTGCTGATGTCGGGATATAAGAAAAGGCTTCTACCTGGACTCTTACGTCTAGTGTAAAAATATCTGTATAATAATATATATTTTTGATAAGTTGCTATAAATAAGGACATTTTTAAAAGTTCTTAGACATCTGCTGTGGCTCCCTGGTGCCACTCTGCTCTCTGACCCTCTGCAACTCAGGTCGCCCACAGGTCCTCAGTGACCACGCTCTGCTCTGGAAACAGGTGGCGGACACGCCATCGCCCTTCACTCTGCGCAGTGCTGTGGCAGGAGGAAGCACTGAGCTCTCAGTTAAAGCAACATCTGCCTTTTTCTGCCAGGGACACACCACAGACAAAGGGGAGTTAAAGGTTCCTATTTGCAGAGCAAAAGAATCTTTTTAAAGGAAGAAAAATTTAAATTGGACAGTTTATTTTTAAAAATAAAGAGTAAAATAAAAATCCCAATGTATGAATCAGCATTAGGTGAACCATCGGTCAACCATGGAATCTTCACACTCTTTACCCACCAGGGACACCTCCATGCCAGTCGTCTCCCCAGATGGGAACAGAGTGGGATCCTGTGGGTCCCTGTCATTCCACTCTCCTTACATACCATCTAATCAATCGATCTTATAAAAGAGGCGCGTCTGTCTGTCTGTATAATTTCACTTACCTTAATAGTCTTATCCATATCTCCGTAGCACAGGGAGTTAAGGGAGATTTTAAAGGGCCTCCAAACAGGATTCAGGTTGTTTTTAATAACCTGTAAAAACGGAGATGCAGAGAGGAGTTAGGAAATCACTGGGTTCATTCGCACTCTGCTCTTGCCCTTCCCAGGTTCTCGTTGTGCTCTGACCGACTGTCCTCCACCGGTCCAGCTGGTCAGCTTTCCCACTGAAAACCAGCTGGTTCAGTACATACAACTGCTACATGAATGTGACAGACTGTCAGGTGTGACACACGCCGAGGAAAGAGACAACTACCTGGGAAGTCACCCACCCACTCAAGGCACCCTTAGAAACTAGACTGTTGACTGTGTTGGAAACGAATTTCCAGTGTGGGGCACAGAGGACTCAAATATGGAATAAGGGAGCCTGAGAAGCACCTTGGGGACAGGTGTGCAACTCCGCGCGCGTGAGAGAGGACACGGGCTCAGACCAGATGTATAGCGTGCAGGGCATACACCTCAGTGTTCTTTACAGGGTTTTAAATTCTTCAAACTACAAACTTCACTGACAATCAAGCAGGGCAGCACCTCATTATAAGCAAAAATCAGCAGGTTGCCTCTGGCTACGTATGTCTGAACTCAGATTGATATTTTTATAGAAACATGATTTTTAAAAAAATCAGATCACGACAATCCCAAAGGAAACCCCTACCCGGCTTTCCAAGTTGAGATGCTCACCTCTGTCCGATGGACCATGAGCCAGTTTCCGTCGGACGTCTGCTTGTGGAATTCCAGGTAAGGATCCGACTTTCCAAACAGATCCTACATCAGAGGAGAAGCAGCTGTTCTTGAAACCGTTCGTTCCCCGCCTAGTGTGTGCTGGCAACACCCGAACTTGCCGACACCGCCCAGGAGAGCTGTGCCGACAATCCTGAAAATGCTCCGTGGATCACACCCTCGCTGCTCAGAAAGCAAATGGCTTTAAAACAGTGATCAATGCGACAGTAACCAACAAACACATCCTGGGCTGTGTTCATTACTGACCCTGCTCATTCCCACAGCGCTGGGCAGTTTCATGGAAGCAACATGCCAGCACCCGCCGTGCCAGCTCTCGAGGGAGCAGCGATGGGATGGACTCAGAGGGGTGAAAGGTTTGCTAAGATGGCATGTCTAACTGTCGACGGAGCTGAGTCTTAACTCCATACCTATCCTTCTGAGTCCAATCTCACACGCGAGGGAGCAGAGGTGAGTATGAATTACCTCATGAGTGAAAAGTACATCTTTGCCTCTGGGATTCCCCAGAGCACTCTACATGGTGCTCAGCACACCGCATGCTCAGAACCGCCCTTCCCGCCACCCTCAACTCAGAGAGCAACTCAGTGCATGCGCGCACANCTCATGAGTGAAAAGTACATCTTTGCCTCTGGGATTCCCCAGAGCACTCTACATGGTGCTCAGCACACCGCATGCTCGGAACCGCCCTTCCCGCCACCCTCAACTCAGAGAGCAACACAGTGCATGCGCGCACACACAGNAGACGCACACACACACAGACACACACTCACACAGACGCGCACCCACACAGACGCACACACACACACTCACACAGACGCGCACCCACACAGACGCGCACACACACAGACACACACACAGACACACACCCACACAGACGCACAAACACACAGACACACTCACACAGACACGCACCCACACAGACGCANGCGCACCCACACAGACGCGCACACACACAGACACACACTCACACAGACGCGCACCCACACAGACGCACAAACACACAGACACACACTCACACAGACGCGCACCCACACACACACCCACACACACAGACGCGCGCACACACACATACACACTCATACACACCGACGCGCACACACACTCATACACAGACACTCATAAACAGACGCACACACATAGGAAAGCAGGGTCTGGGAGGCACCATCCCTGCACTGCTGGGTTGGATGAGGGGCCCACATGAACTGTGTTTTTTTCTCAGAGAGAAACGGGGGTGGGGAGGCCAACCAGATGTCCATTGAATCCGCTCCCCACACCTTGTTATCCAGCTTTCTTGCTTCCATTTCGAACAGGACTACTCTGTTGTCCTTAATTTCTTCCGCTGAGATCTACGAGCAGAGAGAAGCGTGTCAGGGATCCCGATTTGCTTGGGAGGCGCCCGTAGTGCCTACGTTCCATGTTCATACACACAAACCCTAATGTGCTTGATAACCACA